ACAGATGCTGACATGAGAGGTGACCTGGATGGTAGAAAATCTACGTTTGGGTACTTGTTTACTTTTGCAGGAGGAGCCGTGTCTTGGCAATCCAAGTTGCAAAAGTGTGTTGCGTTGTCCACAACTGAGGCTGAATACATAGCCGCTACAGAAGCATGCAAGAAGTTGTTGTGGCTGAAGCGGTTTTTCCAAGAGTTGGGTTTGAAGGAAAGTGATTATGGCATTTATTGTGATAGTCAGAGTGCTCTGGATTTGAGTAAGAACACTACATATCATTCACGCACTAAGCACATTGATATTCGTTATCACTGGATTAGAGATGCTATCGAGAACAAGTTGCTACAGTTGAAAAAGATTCATACCGATAATAATTCTTCAGACATGTTAACAAAGGTAGTCACAAAATCAAAGTTGGAATTCTGCATTAAGGCTGCTGGGATGGACTCCAGGTAACTTGGAGTCATGATCAGAATTCCTCCCTCATGGACTGGAGGGGGAGATTGTTGGTATATGGTCCAGCCCATGATCAATGTTCTAGATTATTCTAGTAAGCAAGTGAGGTGGTTGGAGCATGCTAGACAATTCTAGCATGTTATTAAGTTGATGGAAGAAGCTAGAGAGCACTAGCTTCCTTGGTTGCAAATGGAAAGATCTAAAGGCTACAATTTTGTGGCTAGTCTAGAATTATCTATGCTAGAGGTTTGAAGAATACACTAGAAACTAGTAGAATGCCAAACCCTCATCTATAAATATGGGTGTGATGTTGTAGTGAAGTAACCAATTAAGAACCAAGTGTAAGTAGCAAAGGATCAAGTCTAAAGCTAGAGTTCCGCTCCAAGAGTGAGAGTGAGAGTGTTCCACTACACATTGTGTGAGTGAAGTTTAAAGTGATAGAAAGTGTGTGTTATACTTTCTTGTATCCATCAAGCCTTGTCTTTGGCTTGGTAAGACTACTCTTGTTGTACTCATCTTTTTTCACATATAGTGAAGATTGATCCTTGTTTGGTGGACGTAGGCATAAATTGCCGAACCACATAAATTCTTGGTGTCCATTTTCTACTTTACCTTGTGCATTCTCTATCTTGTAGTACCGACATTCCTAACAATATTCCCATCTCTTCACAACCTATTCTCATTTCTCTCAGGCACTCCACTCGTCCCAAACAGCCACCGGCATGGACTAAAGACTACCACATGTCTCACCAAGTCAATCACTTTTCCCTGGTACCACGTTCTGCAAAAGGTACCCATTATCCCATATCTAATTTTCTTTCCAACTCTTATTTCTCTTCTGCCCATTGCTATTTTTTAGCTAACATTACAGGTCCATCTGAGCTCACCACATATGATGAAGCTATCCTTGATCTGAATTGGCAACAAGCTATGCACACAGAATTATATGCGTTACACCACAATCAAACTTGGGACTTGGTTCCCTTTCCCGTTGGTCATAAGCCTATCGGCTCCAAATGGGTTTTCAAAAAGAAGTACAACTCTGACAGTTCTCTTGATCGTTACAAGGCTCGTGTTGTTGTAAAAGGATACACACAGGTTGAGGGAGTTGATTACCAGGAAACCTTTTCCCCCACTACCAAACTCACCACTCTGCGTTGTCTCCTTACCATTGATGCTGCCTGCACTTAGTTCATTCATCAATTAGACGTTCAGAATGCCTTTCTGCATGGCACTCTTCATGAAGAGGTCTACATGGAACCCCCTTCGGGTCTTCGCCGACAAAGGGAGAATCTTGTAAGTCAGCTCAAATAGTCCATTTACAGACTCAAACAGACACCTAGAACTTGGTTCACCACCTTCTCAGATGTTATTCAAAAAGTTGGATATCATCAATCGAAAGCGGATTATTCCTTATTCACTAACATCTGAGGTAGTTCAACCACTATCGTTCTTATTTACGTTGATGACATACTTATCACAAGAAATAATATCCAAGAGATGGAACAACTCAAAGCCTTTCTTCCCAAACACTTCCGCATCAAAGACCTTGGTGATCTAAAGTATTTCTGGGTATTGAGTTCGCACACTCAGAAAAGGGAATTTTTATGTCACAACGAAAATATGCACTCGATATTCTACAAGACTCAGGGTTACTTGGTGCAAAGCCAGATCCTTTTCTGATGGAACAAAACTTAGCACTTACATCCACAGATAGAGCATTGTTGAATGATCCAACTAAATACAGAAGGTTAGTTTTAGTTGGGAGATTGATATATCTCACTATTACCGGACATGGTTTATCTCGTTCGTACTTTGAGCCAATTGCATTGGGATGCAGCTATGCGAATACTTAGATATATCAAAGGCACTCCAGGCCAAGGTCTACTATTTTCAGCCAACAATAATCTAGACTTGAAAGCTTTTTGTGATTCTGAATGGGGAAGATGTCGTGCCATGAGAAGATCAGTTACGAGATATTGTATTTTTCTTGGCAATTCACTCATTTCATGGAAGTCCAAAAAGCAAGATAATGTGTCCAAGTCATCAGCTGAGGCGGAATACTGTGCTATGGCAAATACTTGCCTAGAAATAACTTGGCTGTGATACATATTACAAGATTTACGAGTTCCCCAGAAAACTCCCGCTTCATTGTTTTGTGATAATCAGGCAGCCTTGTACATCACAGCAAATCTTGTTTTTCACAATTGTACCAAGCATATTGAGATAGATTGTCATATTGTTCGAGAAAAATTACAAGCTGGTATAATTCGTCCTACGTATGTGCCTACACTCTTCCAGTTAGCTGATATATTTACAAGGGCTTTAGGGAAGGATCAATTTGTGAAGCTACGAGACAAGTTGGGCGTTCGTAATCTTCACTCTCCAACTTGAGGGGGAGTATTAAGAATGTTTTGTAATTAATGTATAATATTGTATTTGTCTTAACTAGGAAAAACTATTCCATGTATTGTGTATCACGGCTTTATAGGATTAGAATCAGGGTTTGACTTTTCTATTTGTATTTGTATATATATGGGCTACATAGCCTCTGTTCAATACATATGAAATATTCAGCCATATTATTCCTCCATATATTCTTCCATATATCAATCCCAGGAACTACCTAGCTCTTTCTTGATTTTTTTCCATTGCAACTGTACAGAAAAGCCGGAGATGTACCGACATTTTCGCCACAATCAGAAGCCGAGTCTTCTAAGTAACTTTGTTCCGCTTTGTTTTTCGGAGTGAAGAGCAACAAAACTCAGAACATGAACATAGAGCAATCCATGATCAAGTTTCTACTTTCTGCGAAGACTTCTGGCAGAGGAAAAGCTTGAAGTCTTGAAGTTTTGTAGTACATGGCAATGACAATGTCTGCAGCATCAGCATTACCGCGTTTTAATTATTTTGAATAATTGACTTTTTGTACTTATGTTGACTAATTAGGTTTTTAATCACATGGAATTTTCCCAGAAAATCATTCGTGGTTGGGACCCAAATTTAACTTGTACTGAACTTTAATCTTTTTTAAAGGAGAAGTAGTTCCTTAATTAAGGGAGTTTAGGGTAGGGATGTAGGGGAGAATCATATGACTAGTAGCACTCTTGACTAGACCAATTCTCCTTACGTGCCATGACTAGTAGCACTCTTGACTCGACCAAGTCTCCTTATATGCCAATAAAAATACCTTATAGTCCATTTTAATAATCTGGCTATGCTACGTACGTTTTGTTCGATACAATGACATTGCAACATTATCTATGGTGTATTCACAGTCGGTTCTTTTGTAATGAATGGACGTTTTGCACAAAGCATTTCCGATCCATATTGTGAAATCCCATTATTGGATTTCACAATTCAGTTTGTTGTATTTCAAATTTTCGGGAAATTATTATTATTTATGTTGTCATGCCCCAAAAATAGGTACGTAACAGTGTCATGCTCTATTAGTAACACAATATTATAGTGTTAAATTCCAACATTATAACACTACATTCTCAATAGAATGTAAGGCTATTTGAGGGGAAGTAAAATAATTTATTTTTAAGCAGTATGGAAGCGGAAATCATTTTGGTAAAACGAAGAATAAAAGGGCGACAGAATTTGGATAAATTTTTTACATCAAAGACGAAGTTTACAACTTACAACAAAACCAAAGAGTTTAAAGTAATTATCATACTAAACCAACTCTTTAGTTGATTTGAAAATGCAAAATGTTGAGTTTGGCTACAAAAATCCTTCAAGACGGTGAGGCAATGAACGACCGAGAAGTTGACAAGTAACAAACAACACTAGTTCCGACTATAGTCCAAAACGTCTATTTGTAGGTGCACGGGTCATGTAATAAAGTAAGGGGTGAGCATCACAAACATTCGTCGCTCCCCCTTAGAGAATCCATCCCAGCTAGGTTTGAAAATAGTATATGACACTATATGTATTATAGGAAAATGATGCACAACAAAAGCTTCGTTTAGTTTTGAAAATAGATTGTATACTCACACAATTTCCTTTTAAAAAGAAAATAGAAATCCCAATAAATCACTACATGCCTGATGACCGGTCCAATGACCAACTACCCCCTGTAACGAGAGTGTTCTTTAATGCTCTACCCTTAGTTATCTTAGTACCTCTCCTAGAAAGGTAACGGTGATAATCCCTTCGTAGTAGCCCCTCTGGAGGTTTAGGGGATCGAAACCCAAGGCGGTCGCTATGCCCCCTTCACTCTCAAGTCATCACTTTAATTTGTAGCATAAAACAACATGCATATCATGATAGTTGAACAGGTACTCTCTGACGTTACATGTCGATCCTAAACGTATCTCAGGATTTGGAGCATGACACATATAATTCTACAAGAAACAGATCATTTCTCTTGGTCAAAACATTTCTTCCAGTCATTGGCTTATTTTTTCTAGAAATTTGCCCGAGGCTTTTTACTGCTGCATATCCGAAGAATTTTCCATAATTTATACACAATAGCAGCAGATGAATCTTAAATGGAAAAAGAGAAAGAGAAGCAGTATATTACAATAAAATCCAAGCCTAAACTGAACGTATCTCGGGATCGGGCCAAGACACATATAATTCTGCAAGAAACAGATCATTTTTCTATGTCAAAACATTTCTTCCAGTCATTGGCTTATTTTTATGGAAATTTGCCTGAGGCTTTTTACTGCTGCATATCCGAAGAATTTTCCATAACTTATACACAATAGCAGCATATGAATCTTAATTGGAAAAAGAGAAAGAGAAGCAGTAAATTACAATAAAATCCAAATTTAAACTAAGTAGTTGAATGAGATCCTGTTCCAGTTTCGGTACTACCAAGAACTCCCACTAAAGTTTTGTAGCCTGAGATGTTGCTTGACAATTCCCAACTCAGTGAATTGCTCAAGGTTCTGGACAGAAGCTGTACAATCTCCTCCATGCCCGGGCGAGCAGCGGGGTTTTTGTTCAAGCAGTTATCAATCAGTTTGATCACGAACACAGCAAGTTCTGGAGGATAACTCTCTTGCATAGAAGGATCCATGAACTCCCTCAAACTCTGACCTCCGTCTTTGTTGTTAAGCACAGAGTTTACAACATCAGACAAGAGATCGTAAAACATAGCAACCTCTTTTCCAGTGAGTATTTCCAGCATGAGAACGCCAAATGCGTAGACATCAAGCTTTGGGGATATCAAGCCATTTTCCAAGTACTCAGGAGCCATGTAGCCTATTGTTCCGACAATGTGATTTGTCAAAGAAAACTCACCTTCCGGCGCTTCTGTTGACCTTGCTAGACCGAAGTTTGCAATCTTGGCCCTGAAATCGCTGTCAAGAAGAATGTTACTGCTCATTACATCCTTGTGGACATGGGGAGGAGTGGTGAAGCTGTGGAGATAGTGAAGCCCTGAGGCCACATCCAGCATAATCTGTATTCTCTGTGTCCAATTCAGGAACTTCCCGTCATTGCTACTGTTGTAAATCCAATCACTCAAGGGTCCATTGACAGCATACTCGTAGATAAGATACGAATGTCCGTCATTAAAACAAACTCCAGAGAGGCGAATGATATTGGAATGGCTGACTTTTTTTAGTAAATTTATCTCTTTGGACACATCTCCATTCATCTCCTTAATGGCTGCCAAATCCTCATTAATTTTGGCGCGATAAATAGACCCTTTAATCAAATAAGCAGTGCTAAAACCATCTGTTGCGCGTTGCAGTTCCTCAAATTTGTAAACTTTGAGGGATTGAGCTATGCCAGATAAGGACTCTAGGAAGTCCCGAGATCCTTCTTCCTCCACCTTCTCTTGTGGTTTCTCAAGTGCCTCAAAGCTCTCTGAGGCGATAACTGGATCGAAGCCCTTCTTAGTACTTCTGCGGAAAAATACGCAAAAGATAATAACGCCTATGACCAATACAAGCCCACCTCCTCCAAGAACCCCAACAAGGGCGTAAACCCATGTTTTGTTTGAGTTATTGGAGGGAGGTGGAGGTGGAGGTGGAGGTGTTGCCGGAGGTGATGGTGATGACGAGGGAGGCTCTACGGTTTGAGAATTATTTGGAGGGTTCTTCAAAGGAACTAAGAGTGTGCTGAAGGAATAAATTGTGGAACCCTGCTCCGGAAGGCCGTTAGCTTCGAGAGTTCTCCCTGTATCTGAACCAAATGATCCAAATCTATTGCTGATCAATGAAACATAATCGTCTGGGGCAACTAAGTAAGTCAAAAGATACTTGAAACCTAGATCAGTTTGGTTCTTTGTGGGACAAGCACATCTAAGAGGAACATTGAGTCTATCACCAATAGACAAGTCTTCTGCAGTTCGATTACCATTCTGATTCAACATAGCTTGACATGTCGAAAGGCCTTGCAATGTGTTATTCGCAATGATAAAAAAGGTATCGCCATTGACAACAACATGAGATGTGTTTAGCTGATAATACTCACCTGAGCAGGAGCAATTAATCGGAACAATCACCAACTTGTTGGTTTCGAACGTTGCAGTCTCAGAAACCGAATTTACCTCCGCCAGCGGAGACGGGTCGGAAGCCAGCAGTTTGGAGATGGCAGAGACCGCGTTGTAAGGCGCCCGGGATCTGAAGGTGAGGAATGTTTGGCAACTCTTGCTTGCTCCATTGCAGGTGTAGCCAAGAACAGATTTTGAGTAAGTTTCTGGGTTGTTACAATCTGAGAAGGCCTGTCCCTCGTAGGGCTGCTGAGCAAAAATCAAACAAGAACAACAAAAAATGGTGAGAATTATAGCAGATACGAGAGGGAGGATATTCATTTTTCTTGAATCGAAAGGTGTGGAGTTTTTCTGCAAGGAAAAGTTCGGAACTTCGGACTTGGAATATATTGCAAAATTTGTGGGCCTCTTGAGGTGCTAATATCGAATTTTTATGGTGAATTATTAATTTATGCAAAAACCAGGGTGGATTGAAGAAGGACTGTCTAGTTCACTTTTTCTTAGTTGCCTTGTTTGACTTCAACTTTTATCAGAACTTGATCTGTAAGCGGAGTTAATCTTCAATTAGTACTAAAAAAATAGTTTATTCTGTTCTTATTAAAAAAAGTAGGTTTGTATTGTGACACTAATCTTTGACACGTATCAGCATTGGTTGGGAAGGCACTAAAGAGCAATTAAATACTTCTATAATCTGGTGTACACATTATCTTATTTTATTATTAAATAGTTTATATTATACCCAATAATTCCTTTTGTATATGATGCTTATTATAGGATGGAGAGGATCCTCCTGACCAGGCCCATCAGGCCATTCATTGTTTATTCAACGGTTACAAACAGAGGATCCCTTTAAAAGTTATAATAATTATAGTCGTTGGATAAAAATGAACGGTCCGATGGACCTGGTCAGGAGGATCCTCTCCATCTGCTCAGGAGAGGATCCTGATCCCTTATTATATAGGTCAGAAGGGCAATTATAACCCTTACTCAATCAACATAAGGTTCAAGTCTCCAAATTCGCATTTCATTATTAAGGAGACGATATATAGTAACTAAAGATTAGGCTAATAAAGCTACACACAAAGGCTAAGAAGAACCTAAAATTAGACAATTAGTATTTTCTATGCCAGAAACTATGATACAATTCACGAAGTGTGTCACATCTTATATAGTAAGAGGAAAATAAATTAGGGTTTATTTCTTATGAGCATAAAGTGTTGGTGACACATCCCCACCGAAGTCGAGACGTGTTGGTCGTCACGTGAGGGTGACGTAGTCAAGTGCGCAATATAAGTGATGATAATAATAAGAAAATACGACTAAGTAAAAACCAAAACTAAACTTACTTAAACTAGAGATAATATGTAAGTGCGTGAAAGTGATCAAGTATAAAATACACACATACCAGAGCATAGGTAAACGAAAGTGCAGTCGAACTAACTAAGTACTAATTATACAAACGGAGAGAAGATCCCTACAGTTATTTAGTAGTTCGTCAGAACCACTGAGAAGTCCTCGTGAGCCACCAAGATGTACAGCTACCTAGGACCTGGAGGGGCGCAAAACAAAAGGGTGAGTGGGCAACAAAACATTTGAAAACACATTTATCTTTTCTGAATATAATAACCCCTCATTGTAAAATCCATATAGTTTTTAGAAAATAATACTATGTATGTACATACGAATACCAATGCACAAGGCTAGTAAAAACTGAAGTATGCCATGTCCTACGTTTCAATACTAAAAGATGTAAGCCAGGTGAAATCAATATAAAATAATATGCCAGTCGGAGTCACCTAATATGACCTATATGACTGGACCTATAGTTCATCAATATATGCTAGCATACGAGTCAGAACCACTTATTGTGGTCGGTACGACAAGGCTAGCACCAAACTTGGATCCAAGGTGAGCGTGCGGTGCGGGAGGTGAACATCACGTGAAGGACTGTGCCCTGGCCTTGGGTAGGAACACTAACACCGGGGTGCAGCAATGATGAGCTCTAAATGCATTTATGCATAACAATATGCCATGCAACCATTACCATCACAATATACTTACCTGAGCCTCTGCAGCATCACATGATATAATTCACGATTTATAATAATGTAATACTTAAAATGCAACTCATTTTCGACATGGCATTTAAAGCATAAATCATTTTAAAAATGTTTTGGAAACCACTATGTTGATGCACAAAATCAGCGAGGACTTTGGTACAACAGAAAGTGTCAGGTTTGTGACCTTCGCTTGGTTGCTTCGATCACTAGTGAAGATAAGTACGTAAATGAATAGGGACAGGGAAGCAAACACAAGATGTACGTGGTTCACCCAGATTGGCTACGTCCACAGAGTAGAAGAGTTCTCATTAATTGTGAAGGGTTTACACAAATACATAGGTTCAAGCTTTCATTTTGTGAGTTCTAGTGAATAGTTTAGTACAAAATGACATTAAAGATTATTATGGGAGAATGATCCCTATTTATAGAAGAGAGTTTCTAGTTTTGTTCTAACATTGACACGTGTCGTGTTGTGATTGGCCTCCTGATTGAAGGGAAGCTCTTCTGGGTCCTTGACGGTATAACGTTGACCGGTGCTCAGTAGTTTCGGGATTGGTCAAGTATGGTACAAACAGTGCTCCCCTAAGTTCCCGAGTAAGGGAAGCTTCTCGGTTGGGGACTTGCAAGATCCAAGCCATTGAGTAATCACGAAACTTCTAAGTACTGAAGTGTGGTATCATTTTCACGTGCCTTATCTGTCTCATATGTAGATGTGGCATCTTCTCTGGAAGTACTTTTCCTCCATCCATGGGTGGTATCTTTAACCGATGAAGATGCACGAGGTAATGTATCAATTTCACTTGAAGCTTACTTTTAGTTTCGGGCTTGGTCAAGTGCGATACAAACCCTATAGTAGGAGTCCCCCAAGTCGCCGAGCTAGGAGATCTGCCGAAAGAGGTGACAGACAAGGTAAGCAGTCAAACTTCCAAGCAAGCAACCCAGGATCGGAGGTTCGACTTTGGCTTCCGGTTGATTGTTCTCATTCTCCTTGTCTCTCATCCAGCTGCCAGGATAAGGAGAAGCAAATGGAGAAGAGATGATATGAGATACTTTTGCTTTTGAAGAAGTAACTTTCCACAGGCTTATTCTTGAACTGTGCTGGAGGGTTTTCTGGTTCCCTTCAGAGTATAAGGCCGACTCAAGAATTTGAGGGTCAAAACAAGTCCATCAAATCTAGAGTACGTTCGACCTTGATGATATGGGATACTTTTGCTGTTGACGGAATAATGAATGTGGTATGGAAAGGTGTCGTGCTGTAATGATCTGTTTCAGCTCACCGTTGAACCTTCTGCTTCAATCTTTTGCATGGCAGAAGTGGTGTGCAACCTTTGCATTTAAATGGTCCTTCAGAACATTTCTTCATAGTGACTCATCCACGCTTGGCAGCTTCAGTGTAAAGAGCCAATATCTGATCAACTGTCATGAGGTATGTGGTGGTGGAATTCATGACCTTGACAGCAGTTGAGGATGAGTTCTCGAGAACAATGCTAAGTAAGCAACCAGGCAAAGGTCTCAGGCAGTCAGTTCCAGATTGGAGGTTTGATTTCAGGTTCCGACTGACTGCTCTCTTTCTCTTTGTCCTGCAGGTGTGGACAAGGACGAAGACAAGGACAGGGAGAAAGCATGATATGGGATACTCTTGCTTTCGACCATGATAATATGAGATACTCTTGTTCTTGGTGTGGCTTATTTGCTGAGGTATTATCAGGGGGGAAATAAAGCTGAGTATTTCGAGAGGTTATGTTGAGGGTGCATTCTCGAACGCGAGAAAGGGTTGAGCATTTTTGCAGGTTTGCCTGTCCGTTAAGAAGGGAGGTCGATGTATATAGGGATTTCCCAATAACAAGTAGTAATGCTATTCCTTTACCCTTCTTGGTCACAACAATGTAGTGGGAGCTACTGGTTTCACGTGTTTTAACTTTGTCAGAGCACTTTGAAAAAGTGGTATGTGGTATCTGGAAAGCTGATGTTGCGTGTGAAGATTACAGATAAGCTTTATCTAAGGAAATCTGGCTCTCGAAGTTCTGAGAGCTGTGCCTCTTCGGTTTTCGAACAAGCAATCCCGTCGGGGATCTGGCTCTCGAGATTCGGAGAGCGGTGCCGCTTCGGTTTTTGAGAAAGTAATTATGTTGAGAGTCTTTTCTCGAATGTGAGTAAAGGTTGGACGTTCTTGCTAGCCTGTCTTGCCACGGAACACGGAGGTCGACACACATAGGGATTTTCCAGTTGTCAAGCAGTGGTGATTTTCCTTTACCCTTGTGGGTAATAGTAGGGTAGCTGGAACTTCGAAATTCTCGTGCCTAAACTTTGTCAGAGATCTTTGGCAAAGTTATATGTGGTACCCGAGGAGTTGATGATGCGTGTGGAGAGTGGCGATTGAACAGTAAGATTCACGTGCTTTCTACTTCACCAGAAATCTTCGACAGATTGCCCGTAATTTTCGCAAAGCTGAGTGTGCATGTGACAAGTGCTGACGAGGCTAAAAAAGCAGGTGCTTCTGTGATTTCTGAGATCGGCCCTCGTGGTCTCTAAGTAGCCCAGCTTTTGAGAAAGGAAGCGCCTCTTCGATTTTTGAGATCGGCCCTCGTGGTCTCTGAGCAGCCCAGCTTTTGAGAAAGCAAATGCCTCTTTGATTTCTGAAGCTCCGTCGAGTGCAGATTTTTATAGAGGCTGGCATTAAGTTCCACAGCACACCTGAATCTCCACTAGTAGAAGCTCCCTTCTTGCACTTCTAAGATCTTGATTTGTCTGACCTCTTCTCTCTTCAACACCTTTGAAAATGTCTGGCCCCTCCGATCGTCGTTTTGACTTGAACCTTGGAGAAGAGGCAGCCACGCCTTCTCCAGACAACATATGGCGCCCATCCTTCATATCCTCTACTGGTCCTCTTACCGTTGGGGATTCTGTGATGAAGAATGATATGACCGCTGCGGTGGTGGCCATGAACCTTCTCACTCCCAGAGATAACAGACTACTTTCCAAACGGTCTGATGAGTTGGCTGTTAAGGATTCTCTGGCTCTTAGTGTTCAGTGTGCAGCTTCTGTGTCTAATATGGCCCAACGCCTATTTGCTAGAACCCGCCAAGTTGAATCATTGGCTGCTGAAATGATAAGTCTCAAACAGGAGATTAGAGGGCTCAAGGATGAGAATAAACAGTTGCACAGGCTCGCGCATGACTATGCTACAAACATGAAGAGGAAACTTAACCAGATGCAAGAATCTGATGGTCAGGCTTTACTTGATCATAAAAGGTTTGTGGGTTTGTTCCAAAGGCATTTATTGCCTTCGTCTTCTGGGGCTGTACCGCATAATGAAGCTCCAAATGATCAACCTCCAATGCCTCCTCCTTCTGGGGTTCTTTCCAGTACTGAGGCTCCGGATAACC